CAAGAATTCATTATACGGGCGTATTGAATTGGGTACGGTGCTAACTTAGTTGGGGGGGGGCACGCGGCGGCGCGGCAGTCTGCTCACCTGGGCTCTCTCGAGCGAGACAGTGTAAACTCGAACATTCCAGCTTTTCACGCATGTCAAGTGACTGCCCCCACCCCCCACCCCCCTACTCTCCCCCTGGCCCACGGATTTCCGAACATGCCAGACGAGAGCAGACCGTGCCGCCGCGTGCCCCCCCCCAATCTAGTTAGACCTCTGGCTTTACATCGAAAATGTAGATTTGTAAGAATTTCAATGATCTCGCCCCGTTCTTTAAGACTGATCTATTAAGAACTCAATTTAATCGTTTAACTTTTTATTGAAAGTTACGACAAAAAATCGATAATCGAACAACTTCTGTGCGGCAGCTGCCACGTCAAATCCATGGACATACCTAATCAGACTTCGGGTATGGACTGTATGGCCAGGCTTACCCGGCTGGTAATAAAATTACGGACAGATGTATGAATATAGAGATCTTTCGAACCAATTGAGTTCTCGCTAGGTTTGCTTCTCTCATGACCACTCAGAAGTCTATCAAGACCGTTCTGGATCAAACATCTTCAATCTACGATACAGGTATGTTGCTAACGCGACTGGGTTCAATGTAGGTTATATTTGTATTTATTCTAGCGAATTCTATCATCCCTGCCCTATGGGATACCGTGAGTCATGCTGAAAGGGATGTAGAAAAGTATCGCAGCAGAGTTGAGTGCCTACAGCGCAAGAAGGAAAATGCTCATGCTGCATTGACGCAAAAAGGTTATTTTAAATTTTTTTGCTGTATGACATGAATTTATTTCGGACATGCTTGATCAGCTGTTTTTCGTGGCGTTCCACAAGGTGCAATTTCAAACTTATAGTGGGAGTCCACTTTTTCTCAGCCCAATTATCACCTCTGAAATAGGACCTGTATAAGTTTTGGATATGGGATAGCGTGCAATGGCAACTGAGCGTAGCCATTTTTCTTGTCCGGAGTTGTTGACTACATCCAATGTCATGAATTCAAAGGTTTTGCTGGAATTCAAAAACTGAGTTTATTGCTCAAATGAGATCAAGTGCAGTGTTGAGGTTTGTTTGCGCCTCTCAACCTAATTTCTGGATTTTTACGTGGTCCACCCCAACAGAAATTCTAACACGGGTTGAATCTGGCTACATCTTGTTTACTGTTGTATATTAACCCTCCTGGCTCTTTTGAAACCACATACGCGACAATGTAGAATTCGTTTGTCAAGAAATTCAAACTGATCTCAGGCCAGTTCTCTTAAAGACTAGTCTAATTATGAACTCAATTTACTCCATTTACACATTTTTATTGAAGTTGCGACACAAAAATCGATAATCGAAGGATTCTGTGAGAAGTTTGCTACGGACAAAGTATCACCGGGTCTAGAAAAATTGATGTCTTCACTGAGAAAATTAAAGGTAAGCCGTCGACTTTTTGCTTTGTCTAACGTTCCTTGGCCTTGGATCACCATGGCAAAGAACGTGATCACAAATAAAATGGGTTATGGGCGATTCACTTCGCATCAAGCGGTAGTCGAATTCGTGTTGAAGCGT